CAATCATTCAACTGGTAGATTTACTCATAAATATAAATAAGATCCTTTCAAAACATCGTAAGTAAATTTTATTTCTATATAAATAAAATATACCATCAACCAAAATCTTATCCATTTTTCGACTAGGTAGTTTGTGGTTTCCGATTTAAAATTTTTATTTTTGATATTTGGAAATGAAGTTACAGTTCTTTTTCGGATGATGACAGACGGAACCGAAGCGTGAAGTAAACTCACGCAAACGAAACTAAAATGTTATTTATTTATTTTTTTTTTATTGCTTTGAGTATGGAAAAAATTATATTTTTAATGTAAACGAAATTTATTTTCAGCAACTAATTTCGAAATTTTTTTTGTCAAAATTTTCTTATATTTTAGATTTGCTCCTCCTTTTTAAATGCATTTTTTGAAGAATGCTGATTTTGAGAAAATGTCTTTACTCTAACACACACACAAAAAACGTGTAGAATTGTTTGAAATTTTGAATGTAGATTTTGTATAATGATAGCGATGTTTCCGGAGAAGATCTGAGTTTTAATTTGCTATTTTTTTTCAGGCTTTAGGTAAGAATATTTAAAATTTTTCTTTAAAAATTCCATTTTAAACAATGTATCGAGTTCTGTCTAATTGTGTTTTTTGAATTTTTTCATAAGATTTTTGTTCAAAACACTGGCACTTAATTTGTGGATATAATTACATTTATTCGATATTTCAATACTTACTGACGATAGATTGGAAAAAATATCAGTGTAGGTTATTCCGGGCAAAAGTATATCGGCCAGTGGCACTTGACCTTAGAAAAATATCAGTGTAGAATATACCGGGCAAATGTATACCAGGCAATGGCCCTTAGCTAGACCTAGTATGACTAGATCTTTGGTAAATGTCCGAAATATACATTGCTCGGTATACATTTGCTCGGTATATCCTACACTGATGTTTTTTTAAGGTCAAGTGCCACTGCCCGGTATATATTTGCCCAGTATATCCTACACTGACGTATTTTTAAGGTTCAGTGCCACTGCCCGGTATACAATTGCCCGGTATACCCTGCACTGATATTTTTTTAAGGTCAAGTGCCATTGCCCGATATACATTTGGCCGATACTCCAAACACTGATGTTTCTTCTAATCTATCGTCAGTAGGGGAGAGTCGGGTAGCCCCGCCCACTTAAGGGGTATTGCTTATATTTCTGTATAATATTGAGTAATAATAAATATTTTTGTATGTTTCTATTGTTTTATCATCTAATTAAATAATGCAGAAAGAATAAACTGAAAAAATGAATAGTTTAACTTAAAAAAATAGAAATTTGAAAAAACATGTCTTTCAGCTCTTTTCAAAATGTGTCGGGTAGCCCCGCCAAGTTACAAAAATTATGCCTTTTAACTGTTTTTTCAGGTGTAAATGAAAATGACCAATGTATTGAAAATAGATAAACCTCATTTATCATTTTTATAACAAAATTATTTTATTTATTACATATTTATATACTTTTAGTGAATTCTATTATTTAATAACAACAATATTTGTTGTTAAAAATGCATATAACATTCAAATTTGAAGCAATAAAATAATAATCTTGATGATACCCAACATTCATGTGAGCAGGGCTACCCGAAATCCAAATTTTTGTAAATTTGTAATTACTCGAACAATTTTTCACACATAAACTTCCTTCTTTATGCAAATTTAACTTAAGACTACATACTTTAATGCTGTATGTATGGAAAAAATTATTTTTTTAGTATTAAAATGAAGTTTACTCGAAACATTCCACCAATTGTTCTTAATTTCATGACTACTGTATTCAACATATTTTCAAAACTATTGTTAACCATCTGATTAGCTGCATAAATACTTGAAACTTTGAAAATAATATTTTTTTTAATATAACAATTAATGTCCGATGGCCCATTGACTTGAAAAAATATTCTGTACATATGAAATTGACAGTGGGCGGGGGTACCCGACACTCCCCTAAGTATTAATATATCGAATAAATGTAATTATATCTACAAATAAGTTAATATCAAATCGGATGTAATATATATTTCGGACATTCAGCAAAGCGACTATGTGATTGTCAACATTCACCTTTGAAAGTCAACAACCACCGATTTCGGTCATTCACAGTAACATGCACATCATTTACATAATAACTTCATCAGGACGTTTATTTCATACTTTGCTGAAATAGCATCCGGCATTATATAGAATGTCTAGGCATTGTATACAATGCCTAGTTAAATTATGCAACAATTCTCATATTTCACACTTTGCCTAAACACGTCAGGCATTATATATGGGTCATTCTCACGAAAACTGTCATTTTTCAGTTCATAAAATCCCAAAAAAGTAAAGTGAATAAAAAGCTCTGAAACTTTTTATATTAATAGAAATATGTAATGGCATTATAAAGAAAGTATATATCCTATAAATTATACTTAATATTTAAATTAATTAATTTTTTAAATAATTAATTTATAATTAATTAATTTATAATAATTAATAATTAATTAATTAATTTAATAAATAAATTAATTAATTTAATAAATTAATTTATTAATTTTTTAATTTATTTTTCAAATTAATTAATAAGTAAATTAATTATTTTCACTATTTAAAAAGTGAGGGAATGACACTAATAGTGAGGGAATGATATTTTATTTTAATACATGTTTTTATCTAAGTTACATCTACCTAAAGTTTGAAAATGATAACATACTAAGTATATCTAATATTTATTATAATTTAGTCTTATATATTTAATAGTTTTTACAGGTTTGGGAAATAAAATTGGCTGGCACGATTGAACAAAAAAAAATTTAATAATATACTCATCTTGAATCATTCCCTCACTTCAGCGTCATTCCCTCACTTTATACACTAGTGAGGGAATGACGAATTCAATAAAATTTAAAAATAACAGTTAGGCCTAATTAATTTCTGAAGTCAATCACATACAATTATATTCATACAAGAAAGCAACATATAATTATCCACTTTCTCGATGAAGTTGTATTTTATTTTACTCTAAAAAATGACATGAGGGAATGACAAATGTAAAAAATTTTACCTGGTTTGATTCATTCAAATTTATTCCACAGCAAAGCTTCTTTAAGTTGAAGATGGAAACATACTGCAATTTTGTTCTATGATGCCAGTTGTTAACTTCTGAAGTTTTTATTAAAATATTTTTATTCTAAGAAGATTGCAGGTGATAAGAACATTGTTGTGAGGGAATGACGCGAAACACTGGGGACAAAGTTTAAAATAGTGCTGTGTTAATATTTTTATCAGAAATTAAATTTAAAATTGATTTTCTGAATTCTATATTTCAGTATTCTGAAATAAAAAACACGAATTTGTAAAAAAAAAATTTTTATTTCAGAAACAATTTTTTTCTTTTTTTAAATCAGCAGTGGGGACAAGTGAGGGAATGACATATTGGTATATTTTAATTACCTAAAATAAATAAAAAATAAAAATTGATAATTTTATTTTTATTCTTTTGTTAGCTTGCATTCTGAAGGACACTTTCCCTGAAAATTTTTTTTCGTAAGTTGTAAAACAAACATAAAATATACTGGGGACATGAAAATGACTGTTTTTGTGAGAATGACCCATATAATGCCTGCGTTTCATACTTTGCCGGTAACATGTATAAAAATAACAAATCATCTTGCTATCACTAATAAATTTTTTTTCTGAAATTGTGCAAGAGTTGTAAAATGATAAACAGAGTTGGGTTTATCTAAACAGGCTGTTTTGCAAATGTTACAAACTTTGTTACATATTACATGACAAACTTCTAGGGGAGATAAGGCATATATAATAAGGATTAAGTACTGTATAGTAACCCACGACGCGAAAATGAACTTGTACCCCACTAGGGGCACTTTCCTCTAAGAAAATGCTTTTACGTGTGCCTTTGAACAAGTATTTTAATTTCATGTTAGTTTTATGTTATTAAAGAAATAATGACGAAGATTGCATTTAAATAGATACAGCATTGGGTTTTTAATCGTAATTTAATGAGCTGGATAATAATTTGCCTAATCATTAAATTACTAATAAACAGCAATTTTTGTGGCTATATTAATGCAATTTGATACTATTTGCTGGAAAACATAAAATTAGAATGAAATTAAGAAAATTTAGATGGATAAAAGTACCTGTTCAGAAGCACTTGTAGAAACAGTTCAAAATAGGAAAGAGCCTCTAACATACAATATTTCCGATCATGTGTTCCTATGTAATCCTTAATTCTTATGATCTGTCCTACCAACCCTAGAAATCTGTCGTAATATTTACTGGACTCCTGTATACTTATGAGTAAATAAATAAATAACAAACAAACAATTCTATGAAAGACTAACATATTAGTGAAACTTTGGATTTTTATTATGCTAGTAAGTATGTTATTGTTTTGCTTCGTAAATGAAACGTTTTTACATTTTATTTTCTATTTAAGTTTTATTACATATATATATTCCATGTTGTATATTTCTAACTTGGACTGATAGTTAAGACACGGTTCCCAGTAGAACACCAAAGCTAAGCATCATTGGCTGCGGTCAGAAAGCGGTTGGGGTGGCTACTTTGATCGTTCTGCGTAGGGACCGAAGGTGCGTGGTATTGGTCCTCACGGGCTCTACCGTAAAATTCTCGACTTTTCACACAGTTCGTCGGGCTACCAAAGCGAAGGAGCCATCCCCTATGCAGAGGATCAAAACTGTGATTGCAAGTTTCGCGGATCCTGATCAGGGATGTTCCCAAACCGTCGCCAATAGCCCGCTGTGCAGCTCTAGTGAGATGTTGATAAAATACCTTTACCTACCTCTTACTTGTTCGATGGAATTGTATTCATATAGACAAAGCTTTATTTGTCTATGTTCATAATCAAATATGTGACGTTGAATTTACTTCATTTTAATAACCTTAACTAAGAATAATTCCATGATACAAATATTTTTTTACACATAAAAATAAAAATTTATTTCTCCAATGGATTATATCCATTTCTACTCTCACTTTTTTATTTACTGTGAGATTTTTATTATTTAGTTTTTTTAATCTTCAATTTAAATTTAAAAAAAAATTGGATGATATCTTTAAACAATGCTTCCACCTGACACGGCACATTATTATATGTAGCTACAAAGGAGCAATGTATAGTTTAAATTTTAAGAATTTAATTTAATTTTTCATCTACAACATCATAAGCAACACGATATACAGCAGCATTTAAATACAACATGGTAATTGGCAACCAAAACAAGATACTTTTAAATGTTTATTTGAAAAGAAAACGAGTCTAATATGCATTGGGCACCAATAGAGTATTAAAAAATTCCAATGGAGTTAGGCCAAGCTCGGCCATTTTTTCTCGTCCCCACCTAAGAGCATATTGCAGAGCTGTATGTCCATATCTGTCTTTAGCATTAATATCGGCGCCTTGTGAAATCAAATACTCGATTATTTCATTTCTTTCAGCATAGAATAATGGTGTTTTATCATCGAAACCTTTGGCTTCAATGTCAGCACCATGTGATAGTAAAACTTCGACAATCTCCTTACTTCCTCTGAGGCATTCGTGCAGAGGCGTATTCCCCAATCTATGTCTAGCATTTACATTTGCCCCTTGGGAAATTAAAATTTCGACTATTTCTTTTCTATAAGCATAGAAGAGAGGTGTTGCCTCAAAGCTATTTTTAGCTTCAATATCAGCACCGTGTGATAGTAAAAGCTTGACAATTCCCTTACTTCTCCTAACAGCTTCATGCAGAGGTGTATCTCCGTGGCTACTTTGAACGTTAATGTCAGCACCTTTTTCAATTAAAAATTCAACTACGTCCTCACTATCTGCAAAGAACAGAGGAGTCTCTCCACGTATATTTTTAGCTTCAATATCAGCTCCATGTGATATTAAAAGCTCGACCATCTCTTTTGTTTTTGCAACAGCTACGTGCAAAGGTGTTTCTCCATTACTACTTTCAGCTTTAACGTCGACGCCGTTTGAAATTAAAAGATCGACTACCTCCCTGTTATTAGCAAAAAACAGAGGTGTTCTATTATCCTTATTTTTAACTTCAATATTAGCGCCGTGAGATATTATTAGCTCTACCATCTCTTGTCTACTCTCTTTAACTGTCTTGTGCAGAAATATATCACCGCTCCTGTTTCTTGCTTCAAGATCAGCGCCCTGTTTAATCAAAAACTTAACTACCTCCTCACTATTAGCTAAGAATATTGGTGTTTCACCCCGATAGTTTTTAGCTTCGATATCAGCGCCGTTTGTTATTAAAATTTCGGCGATATCCTTATTAGCAGCATAGTGAAGAGGTTTCTGTCCTCTTATATCAGACTTATTTATAAGTTTGCTTTTACTTTTTAACAGAGCATTGAGAAGTGTTAATAATCCTTTTTCTGCTGCTTTGTGTAATAAGGTTTTTACTGGTAATTTAGCTACAGAAGCAAGAAGCAATTGATTCATTGTTTCACACATGTCATCAATATTTGCTCCATTTTTTAAGAGTAAATCGGCAATATCCCAATGACCATTTTTATCAGCATATCTTATAGGCTTCCATCCGAAAAGGTCTTCAGCAGCAACACTATATCTGTGCTCTAATAAAGTCATGGTAACATCATAGTATCCATATGCAGCAGCTACATGAAGTGCTGTTCTTCCTATCCTATCTCTAGCATTAATGAAATCTTTTACTTTGTCTGCATTTGTTAATAATTTCCTTACCTCCTTTTCATCGCTGTTTAAAACCGCAATATGCACCTCGCAGTTAGTTTCCCCGTCAGTTACCATATAATCAAAGAAAATAGAGGTTAAGTATTGCTTCTTTCCATAAATCTGATCAAAAAAAAATTTCCTTACTTTTTCCCTTTTTACATTGTTGAAATAAAAAAGTGCAGCAAAATACTGGGTAAAACTGTAGTGAATGAATATTGGCTTTTCATCGACAATATGACTAATGAAACCTGAATTTTCTTTCCCATCTTTTACCTGCTGTTTATATTTCTTCATTTCGGTTATTTTGTCATCTTCAAGAAAATTTTCCGATTCGTTTTCTCAAAGCAGTGCATCTAAAGATAACAAGGTATATTTTCGTAAAAACGATTCATGTAGTACTTCATATTCTGGTCCAGATTTTGTTGCATCTAATATCTGCTTTTCTGCAAGATGCCTTTTGTATTTCATTTCAACAAATAATTTATAAAGGCTCAGAATACTTAATTTTTTCGGCAAATTTAAATCTATTTTGTTGGACAGCTTAAAAGGGGTTTCGAATTCTCCTTGAACTTCAACCAGCATTTTTATTTGCAATGGTATTCCCGTAAATTCTTTTCTTTTATCCGAAATGGGTTGCAGCACTCTGTCAAGCAATTTATTGGCAAAATTCTCCGTAATACTTAGTTTCAGAATTTTACAGAACTAATTTTGAATAAACAACACCTGATCATTTCTAAATAGTGGTCTTAGAGTATACGATAGTACACTTAATATATCTTCTAGTTCATTTTTCATGTGTGGGCGTGTAGTTATCCAGAGTTTCTCTACTTTTGAATACTTCAAAACTCTTAATAGTTCAACAACTTTCTCTTCGTATTTAGGAACTATTTCATCAAATCCATCAAATAACAAGGCAACTTTACCTACAGCATTTAATCCGTGTTTAAATAACTCTTGCTCTAAAGGAGTGTTTATTAATGCTATGTCCATTATAAATTTAAAAATTGTGTCCTTATCGTTATGAGAATTGACATTTGCTAGCTTTCCTGTATAATCATTCAAGTTAATTCTCACAACCCAAAGGGTGGCATCTTTGTTTTTCATATTTTGAGCTAATTTAGTCAATACAGTTGATTTCCCCGCACCAGACACTGAACTTATAACTACTATTCGCTCATCCAATTCACGACATTCATAACCGTCACCTGTGTCTAAATACCTGCGCAATCTCGATGTAGCACCCCGAGAATTTTGCCACATAAATCGTTCATCTTCCTCTTTTAACCAATGAATATTACGGTTCTCATACTCAATACAAAGTTTATCAAAATCGCTTCTGGAATAAGAAATCAGCAATATATCCTGATTCTGTGCAAGTTGAGATGGATCAATCCGACCATTATAAGTAAGGTAAAATTTGGTATCATTTTTAATGTATTTGTTAATTTTTGGCAGTTTAAAAATGCGATCAATATAGTAACTCTCAATATCACCCAAATCTGGAAGCGTTTTTCCTACCTCTATCGCTTCATTGTTGATAAGTTTAGATAATGTTTCTTCATCTACCAGGTGTGATGACTCACTTGTTATTAATTTACCCAAGCTTATCTTTCTCCCTTGAAAGTAAATTTTCTTCTCTAAGAGTTGCTTTTGAGAATCATAGGTTAAGTCATCAAGTTTAATTTTTTTATCATCCCTTATTTCACAATTAAAATTATTCTTATTTCCAAAACAAAATTTTAAATCATAAATCCTTTGAGAAACTAAAATAAACTTATACTTCGGTTTATCTTCGAAAGCCCTAAATAATTCTTTAAAATAAGTTTTTGATAGTTCTTCTCTGTTCACCACTGATTCACTGTTATATTCAACCACGAATAGCATAGAAACGTCCTTATCCGATTGCTTTACAAATTTATTCAACGGAAAAAACTGCTCTAAATTTAGAAGCTGCTTCAGACAGAGAAAAAAGGTTTGATACTCATTTTTTGTCTTTTTCAGAACTTTATGTATTTTTTTAATTGCTACTATAGGATGGACTTTAAATATAAGATGTAAAAATTGCAAGTTTGAGTCTTTTAAGAAACCATCAAAATCTATTGTAGACTGTTTAAATTCAATATATTCAATTGACAGAAGATAATCCAGAGACTGTTTTCTGTAAACATCATTAAAAGCATCCTGATTATCTAATTTAGATTTTATTTCATGGTGTATAGTTGGAAAAACAGACAAAGCGCTTTTGACACAAATAATCAATTTTTGAAGTTTTTCTCCAATCCCGTATTTGATGAAACCTCTTCCTTCCCCCTGTTTCATTTCTAAACCTTGCAATATTTCTTCAATTATATTTGCATTCAATACTCCTTTTGTTTTTGTATCAAGAGAAGAAAATAAGTCATCAGCGTTAGAAAGCATCGAAAATTGCTTTAACCTGCGGCAACCATCTAGAAATTCAAACTCCGGCTGTGTGAAAATATTAGCACTACATTCTCCTTTTTCAACACTTTGAACTTGGTAACGAAGAGTACAATATTCGCTATCCTCAGGAGGTGGATTATAGCAGTTAGTACAATTGGCTAATTTATGAAAATGTTCATATTCGTTGGTGCTCGTTGAAAATATATTAAATATTTTTTCAACTATTATTCCACCTAATCCTTCTTCTACTAATGGCCAGTCTATGACCTTCATTGTCTTTTTTTCCGAACTGCATAATAAAGAATTTTTAATGTTGTTCATATTGTGAGATTCCATTGTGTATTGAAAAAAATCCCAACTAGATGATCTGTGGGGCATATTTTCTATAAATACCCGGTACAAGTTACCAACGTTAAGATGTGAGTGAAGAGTATTCACCAAATTTGGTGCGGATAGGTAAATTGTGACATCCAAGAACGATGATGAATGGGCTTTACCGCTGTAGCGTACATCAAAGTCACTTTCCATTTTCAACAACATCTCTTTGCAACCAGGACTGTCAAAGACTACTGTATGCGTGTGAAAACCTTCGTTTCTGCTTTTTACAAAAAAGTCACTCTCGCCTTTTGTAAGGTATTCAGTAGAAAAAGTAGTGATCTGTGCTAACCAACCTCCTAATGAATGTCCAGTAATAGACAGAGTCAAGTTCGCTGATTGTTTTCTATTGAACTCTTCCACTTCAACTGCAATTTTATAGGAAAAAGTAATTGCAGAGCTCATTTGAGAAGTATATTTATTCGATAATATACCTTCATAATCAGTCCAAAGATCTTTCACGTTCTTTGGATTTGTACCTTTGTGTGCAATTACAACTTGTTGGTGATCGGGATTCCAGTATGCTGCTCCAATATAACCGTCTTTTCGGTTTTTCGCAGTGTTTAATAAAACCCAATCTTGTTCTAATGTTTCTAAATATTTTTCTTCTTCATAAACTCTAGATGAGAATTGTGCTAACTGATAAACACTGGGATAAATGAACTTATCAAGGCGAATAGATCTTGCATCACTGGTATTTTGATTCACTGATATGAAATTTTCTTTACTGATTTCTAAATTAGCTACTTTTAATTTTCTACTGTATGGAAAGATCATTTTTAGCTTGAGACTTTCCTTCTAACTTGTTTTGTAAAAGCTTTTCTTCTTCAAAAGATTTCCCACTTAGTTGCATTGCCTTCCTTCATCCATCTAAGAGTTAATTCAATATCAGCACTATTTGGTCTCTATAAAGAATAAAATTAATTTCAAAATATTTTCTAAATTACTAAATATTACAAAAATAACATAATTTTATGTATGAAAGTCAAAAGGTTTGGTGAAAAATACCATATTCTCAAGATTTATTAACGATTTACTTTCATCTATTTTATGTGTTTGCTTTAAGTTTTAAAACAGCTTGATAAATTCAGTTTCAGGTTTTTATTTGAAACCTAAATAATATTAACAAGAACGGTTTCTTATCTCTTTTCAATCCACTTTTTATACATTCAAGTCGATCAAGTATTTTTAACTATTACCTTCTTTATATAGTTTCTATAATAAATCGATTATTATATACTTTCTCATTTTGTTTTTAATATATAATAAAGTCATGAAATGAATTTATCCTTTAATTTCTATTTTGTTTTAATTGAAATATCCGAAACTAGTTTTTCAAATTGATTTTCATATGTAACTCATACTTTTTTAAAGCACTTGCTCTTTTTACTTCTACTATACCGTAAAGTATACAAATGTGTTAACAAATTTGTCTAAAACTCCTAGAACGTGTCAAAAATTATTTAGGAACACATTCTTAAGAAATTTGAAAATTTTCACGAACGACTTCTATTTATTCATTTTCAGAAAATAAGCAGTAAGAAGTCATAAAACTAAATTTTTGAATATGCGAATTTTCTAAATTAGATAACTTAACCACAAGACAAATTTATTTAAAATTTTATATTTTGTTATTTATTCATTTATAGAAAACGAGAAGTAAGGTGGCACAAACGAAAAACTAAATTTTTGAATAGACGACTATTTAAAATTAGATATCTCTGAAACTGTTCGATCGATTTGTTTTAAATTTTGCAATTTGTCAATTAAAATTACAAATTTAGAAATAATGCCTAATATTAAGTAAATTAAGAAACAATAATAAATAATTTTTAAAAATTAATTTTTTTTATGTGGTATTAGCATTTTGTAAACGAGTTTTTATAATTGCGTTAAAAATTTTTCAATTCTCTTATTTGGTTCTTGGGTTAAGGCTAACTACGTTGTCCCCCCTAACAAAAAAGAAAGAAATTAACATTAAAGTGTCTAAATTTACGACTGCTCTCGAGCCTAAGCCATTGGGACCATATTTTCCAGATTGCAGATAAAGCCTATACCAAGAGTCCAAACTCGTCGTGAAAAAAATTTTGTGCTCATTCATAGAAATTACGATTTTGTGTCGGATTTTGTAATTTAAAAATATGGTCTGCTCAAGGGGCTTGAAAAACCACCCGCCCGCCCGTCCTCGGCGCTCAAAAATTCCCAGCGTTCCCAGATAAAAATTCCCAGATAATAAATTTCTCGAATCCGACGTCCGTGCGGACGGCCATTTTCCCGTTAATGTTCGAGATACATTTTCAATTTTTGCTATCTTACAATCTTTTTAGAAGTAGTAGATAAAGAAAATTTTTCTCAAGAATGGGTGTCATTAAGAATTAAGATCGTTTAGCACCAGAAAATTTCAGCTCTCCGAGTCCAAGCTGTTTATAAAGACCTAATGCAGCAAAATGATCCACATTGCAGCAACATACTGCATATGGTGCAGTTTGATAAAGAAGAAGCGTTAAACAGAATTAGGAAAATCTACCTAAATGGAAACCCCTTTCTGATTTCTGTGCAGAAACCTCTGTAAATCATTGGCTTGATTGTGGAACTGACAAACGTCATATTTGATTCATTTAAAAAATGCAGTACCCTCGGTTAAATTGACATTCCAGATAACTTGACCTTTGTCCTTTAATTTATTTCATAAAAGAAATAAATTATTTCATAAAAGAAATACTAGGTTACTATTAGTAACCTAGTATTTATTTTATTACTGTATAATGTAATCCTAGTATTTGTAATCCTAGTAACTACTAATTCATTGTGAAATTTATAGAAATTTTTGTAATAAATAAGTGAAAATTATATTTTTACTTATTTAGATGCTGCAGGCTAGTTTCACAGGAGGACGGGTACATTGTTGAGCAAGCCGTCCTTGAGGACGGGTAAAAATTTCTGAATTTTTTCGAGCCCTGGTCTGCTCTAATTAATTATCGTGTTAAAAGCTAATAGCCTTCGAACAATTAAAATTGGATTTAACTGGTTGAAGAATAGATGATCAGGTAAAAAGTTATTCAGGGTGCTCACTTCTTTCGTTCTGAACTTTATAAGAAATTAGAATAAATGAATAAGAGTTCGATAAAATATAGCAGCGTGCTCATTCACTGAAAATTTTCTTTAAAAACAGGGGAGGGGATAATAGACAATTTGCACTCCTGTATCAACTGTCTATCTAAAAGAATATATAGTAACACATTATAAAACTAGGTATTCAAATGCCATGGAACTTTTTTTTTCTTTCTTTTTTTGCGAAAACATTTTCCAGTATATGATCCAACGAAATATTGTCAAAGGGACAAAGTAACTACTTCCATTTCCTAGTTGACGAGGAATTTGAAAAACTGAGGAAATTTTTCATTTTTTTTATTTTATTTAAAAAAAAAGTAGATCTGGCATTGTACACCATGCAAGTTAGTATAGAAGTATAGTTTAAGCAAGAAGTATAGAAGCGCAAGTTCGATTTGTCAGTTACCTTGGATTAGCCCGAAAATGGATGTAAGCAAGGTAATAATATTATACTGGTTAATTCAAAATTTCTAATTATTAAGGTGGAATTTTATTTACAAAATTTAAATACCAATATTGTTTAGAAAAATTATTAACATTAATTGAAAAAAAATATTTTATTGAAAAAATTCTTTATTAAATAATAGAAGATTTTTACCCACGAATTTGTCCTTGATAAAAATAAAGAAAATTTTAGTAGATAAATTTTTAATATATTCATTAATATTTATAACACATGATTACAGCAATGATTTAATATAGATCTCAATTTTATCATTTAGATATCCATTGTTTTTTTTTAATCAAATTTTGGAGGAGTCCGACTATTTGTTTTTTTTGGACAAATAAACAGTAGTACAAATTCTTAAATTTCTAATCATTTGATTAAAAATGGTATTTAAATAAATGCTTTTAGTAACATTACAATTCCATGCAGTTAAATTTAAAATCATTTCTTTAATCGCAAAAGTCAGCAATGTAGATATTTTACAACGTTTATATTAACTTGCCTTCGTGTATGTCTGTCTGGGTGGAATTTTGTAATCGATTTTAAACTAACTTCCCGACTAGCCACAAACTTCAAATTTGGCACATAGTTCAGAATTGGATGATAATGTATGAAAATGAAGAGAAAGAAGACAAAGTAAAATAAAATTAAAATTTAAAAAAAAATTAATATTTTCGCGATTGTCTTTTGTTGTCGATTCGATTATTTCAAATTAGAGTCACATGTCAGGCGAAAAGTGTTTTATTGTCGGAGTATTTTTATTGGCTGAAAAATCAGTTTAAAAATATTCTTTTTTATTTTGAATTTTTTTATTTTAAATTATACTTTTTTTATTTTTTAATTGTTATTTTATATTTTTTTTTTAAATAATTATTTTTTAATTATTATTCTTCACTACAAAAAACGTAGTTCTTAAAAATATATATTTATATTTAGAATATTTATTCTTCTTTATTGATACTTAAATCCTAAAAATTATAACTAATGTAATTGTAATAATAATGAAGCAAGATTAATTCCTCGGGGTAAATATTACTTAAAAAAATTGTATAATCTTGAAAATTAAAAGTAATAAAATCATCAATAAATCTAAAAACAAATTTAATACTTAGGATATAATTTTTTAATTGCAGTACAAAATTAAGATAGCTAGAAGTGATGAAAAATTAGATCCTTATGGTATTTCACGCATTTAAACAAAAAATGTTTTTCATTGTATAGATAATTATAAAAAAGAAAAATAGTAATTGAAATTTGCCATCAATCAAAATGACAATTAAATATATTTTTTATGATCATGCTATTAAGTCAAAAGAACATCTTTTATTTCGGAAAGGTGAATGCTATTGAAGAAATATTGGAAAACAAAAGTAGCAATAGAATTAATTTTATTTTGTTTAATTCTAAAATAGGTTGCCTATTATTGATAATCCAAGAAAAACTATTATCTTTAATAATATTGCTTATAATTTTATTTCAGTAGTTGGAAAAATATTGCTTATTATAAAACTCCTTATTTTAAAGTTTATTAGGAATATTTTACAGAAGATTCAATAATTATTGTTATCCTTATCTATAGGGGTAATTACAAAATTCCTTGGTTGTTGCTTAATTGCTAATTAAATTTTAGTAAAAAGTTACTGAATTGTCACTGTTACTTAAATTTTCCTTATTATTAAAATAAAGCTTTTAAAATATTAAAAGAAATACCTAATTTATTTTCTCTTACGATAACTGAAAGTAAAGAGTATCTATTTGATATCTTTAAGCAAATTAAGGAATTATTCCAGAAATCTATTAATTGATGTATGGTAAATCGGTCTAAATGTTGTGCCTTTTAACATAGTAAATTTCTTAGTTCTAAATTTTGTATAATATTTAAATTACTAGTAATAATACATTTATGAAGTTTATCAACAAATTCAAAATAGTTATCTTCGTCACAGTGATATTCATTATCGGATTGATCAATCTTCTCTAAATTTTGATAAAATCATTATAATTAAAAATAGTTCTACTTAGAGTTTTACTACATTTATAGTTTTTATTTAGGTTAAAGCCTTTTTATGGAAAATTTTTTAAAATTCTCTATTATGTTATGAAATTTAAACATATCAAAATAGGGTTTTGTAATCCAAAGATATCCAAATTTTTCTTTTAATTCAGTGAAATTTTACTCCTTTTGCTTTCATAAGATCGAAGTAAAGAATTTCGAAGTTTAAATTAGTAAAGGAGAAGTTCTAAATAAGATCTTGAAGCTGATAAATATCGTTATATTTATTGTAACGAAAATCGAAAAAATTAAGTAAAAAATTTAAAATAAAACATTCCGCAAAAAATAGAAAATAAAAATTCACGAAAAATAAAGAATTAAACACAAAATGTAATATATAAAGTCATTATCGATATCAAATGTATTTCCATTTATTGGCATCTTTTAAAAATGATTTAAAATAATTACGTAAAAAGTTTGTCAGATTACGAAATACGCAATTTTTTTCAGTCTCTTTAATTTGCATGTATTCGGCATTAAAGCACCGTTTATGTTTTGAATTTCTACAGCCATTTTAGAAAGGATGAGAAATAAATTTAAATCGTAACTAAGATTTTAGTTCCTTAAAAATACAAAATTATTGTAAATAAATCCTAAACGTATAACTAACTGCTCAATACTACTTAAATATGAATTTAAATTTTTAAATTTAAATTTTTTATGAATAATAACTATAATGTTGCCCATAGATATTGAAATACTTCATGTGGTGCCACACACGAAAAATATATATTAATTAGGTACATTTAATTATTTTTAAGCAATTAGACTGACTAGAATTTAAACAATCATTTGTTTATTTTTGTATTTTAAAGAAATATCTCAAATGTGTGTGATGTACCATTGCGTAACTACACATTTCTTAATAATGAAAATGAGACAATGATATCATTCATCTCAATTTTCAGATTAAAAATATCCAAAATATACTTCTTAATGAAGTATTTTTGGCAGAATACTGATTATAATGAAATTCAAAATTAAATTTTTATACCTGGATGATGTTAAACTAGATCTGCGTCTGTAAGATGCGAGCAGAATATAAAACATAAAATAGTATCTGATACCCTTTACAGCTTAGGTAAGATATTTTTTTAATACGCGTGGACAATCAATCAAACAATTTTAGAATGGAATGCTTAATGTTCGATAAGATAAAGGCTAAAAAAGGGTTAAAGGCTGATAACTAAGCCAAATCAGAAAAAGAGCTGTTCGTTACCATGGAGATATTTAAGTCGTCACGAATTTACAAATAAAATTATGCGATTTCGAAATATTTTATGCATTTAGCAGATAAATTCATCTTTTCGATTTTTATAGATTTCTTTTTAACAATTTATTTTCACTAATTTTATTTTGACTTACTTAAGTAGCTTAAGAAAAATCTTACCGCTAAAATTTTATAAAATTAAAACAAGATACAGAAAATTATATTTTCTTCAAATAAATTTTTTTTTTGTTTTAATTGTTTTATGGTCAATCACAAACTATGCATATATTTATGACAAGTTGCTGCAACTTTGTTGCGTAATTTTTATGAGACAAATGAGCTTACACTGTTGTCAGATCAAATGACGTTAAAAATGGTGCTGGTACTCTTTACCGTAAAATTCATTTTTACTGGAACATATTACTGATCAAAAATTCCGATATACTGTAATTTTCACAGTGATTATTCAAAATCATAAAATCATCATCATAAAACCGTAAAATCATTGACTTACTCTAATTAAATGAATAATACTGTGCAAATGAATTTTACGATATAAAAGATTTCACGGTAAAATGAATTTTAGGGAGGATGTATTAAAAGTACTAGCATTTTACTTCGCAATTTCTTCTGGAATTGTTTACAGTGTAGGGTATACTTTGTTAAACGTAACAATAAAGCGAACTAACGTAAATAAAGCACAAATCAAGGTATATAAATTGACTTACTATAGTTTCGGTTCAATTAACAAGAATCTTTCTCGATGTCTAAACACAAAATATAATATTTTTAGATACTCTGTTTAGGTTCTCTACGCATTTAGGACAGGACTGAGAAAGACAGTTTTTAAAATTTAAATTCTAGATACAATGAAGTACCACTAATTAATCAACTCAAAATGCAAATCAATTCAAACACTTTAAATGCAGTCAGAAAGATTAGTATTGCAAAATGTCTGAAGAAAAATATCATGAACAAATTTATGTTTGGTTAAAGATTAATTTTATTCCATTTAATCTAACTAAATTTTTCTTTCATATTAAATACTTAGGCAGTTTCTGAACATTTGTGTTCGTAATTTATTATCTATCGCTTTAAAAGAATAGTTTTAAATCACTTCTGAAATACTATGACAACTGAATTCACAACAAAACAGATAATTCGTATATTATGTTTCAATAGTAAGACATAGTAGAATCGTGTATGTCTTCACACATACAACGCATAATATTCCAAATCAAATTGTACTGTAATAGCTTATCAAACCAGGTCGTAATATCTTATCCTATATAAAGAGCTTAGTGGTATACTTTAAAAAATTCCGGATCAATTTCCGGTATTTTGTGTGTATAAAATCCATTTTTACCCTAAAATATTATACCGTAATTTTTACAGTTATATTTATTTATTTAGAGTATGTCAGTGAATTTGCGGCTATTATCACTGTAAAAATTACTGTATATTAGATATTTTCTTCCGCAAATTCCGTTGAAAAGGGACTCTACTGTAAACAGTACCGGCAATCTGACTGCAGGTATTTTGTACTGTAATTTAATTCGGAATTTTTTACAATGTAGAAGTAGATAAATGACATTTTAGGGACATTTATTAATTGATGACAATAATATAATAAGTGGTCGCTTGAATAAAAGTATGTTTAATGTGTCAGAATTGCTTTTGCTTTCCCTTTAATTTTAACGTTACTACTCCACAGTAGTTTTGAGCATGCTTGCATGATATTCATTTTAAATAAGTAGTAGTAAATGAAATAGAATAAATAATTAAAAGCCTCATCTAATCTTTAATTTAATGCCATTAGTTTCGATTCACTCCCTCAATGGTAGGTATAACAACAAAGTATGCAGATCTCATTTTTAAATTAATCAGTTAGCTATCACATTTATGTATCAAAATGAGTACATTCAGGTATTTAATTTAATTTCCTCTAGATAAATGCTGAATAAAACAATGAAGCCACGTTAAAAATTAATTAGCATATTTATCTATATCTTTATTGGCAATATATAATACATGAATTATATTTAAAATACAGGACGGAAATAATTTATAAAGTTTTATTAACAAAAAAACAAAACAAAAAACAATGATTCATCCCTCTCTACAATTCAACCAACTATCTAATATGACCAATACAGTAATGAATCACTAATGGTCAACTTACAATGGTTTTTTTTGTACTTTTTTCTTAACAGAATTTGTATTTTGTTAAGACCTTGTATTGTTAAAAACTTGAAGAACTTCTTTTTGAAATCTAGAAGCACTGACCCCCAGCATAATAGCAAGAAGATCATATTTAATAAAAACATGGATAAACAACATGAATAATAACATTTCACATAAATAATAACATTATACATAAATAATAACAATGTGCATAAATAATGACATCTTCAATATTGTATTAACATGAAAGAATAGCAACATGAATAAACAGAATTTACTGTAAAAACATGTCATGTAAAAACAGAGTCAAATTAACTTTAATTACGGAAAGGATTTATAAAGACAAATATCATTTAAAAATAAAACAAAATTTTATCACTTGCAGGTCAGTTAGCAGCACTTAGACTCTGAAGAAATTCATGCAGTTTAAGAAGATATCAAAAATAAACGTAGGAGTATAAATATCCTTTATCCTGCATTGCATAGTTTGTTTACTAAATTTGAAGTTAAGGTTCGGTCTATTACATTATTACAGAATAATATAAGAAATGATCCAAAATGTTTTTATTCCTAATAGTAGTTGTATAGTGCAAAGAGGTGTTTTGATCTAAGTATTTAATGGTAACAAAAACAATTTCATTAGTTTAACAAAATTGTAAAATATATAAACAGCTTTTTAAAACCTTTAGTGACAGCAAAGTTTGAGTAGAATGGTTGGAGTTAATTAAACACTCAACATTAAAACTTTGAGATATTAAAAGCATAGCAGTTTTCTTTCTTATTTCACAAGACACTGTAATAGGGAATTTGCCGACATGTCTTTAATTAGTTCTAATTCAATCATTTGTTTAATCAAAAGTCAAATGAAATAGAAAATGAAGAATCGTATCTATAATTGCGCAGAAGATGTAATTTTTAATATTGGCAAAATCCGCTTAAATCTATAAAATTCAAAATAAAAAATAATATTTTTAAAAACCACGTTTTTGTAGTGGAGAATAATAATTAAAAAAAATTAAAAACGAAAAACGTGGGGCGCATGAAATTTATTCTTCACTACAAAAAACGTGGTTTCTGAAAATGTATATTTTTATTTAGACTATTTTCCTTAGTCAAGAGTAGTCAAGACTACTACAAGACCACTACTAAAATAATAGAACTTTCATTTTAAATTAGGGATACGAAAATCTTTATAGAAAAACAATACCTTTACGACTTTCATTAGTTTTATGCTGATGACAACCAAAACAATCTGGAAATGAAAGAGGAAAAACTGGATCAGACCACGTGATTTTTCAGCCAATAAAAATACTCCGACAATAAAAATCTTTTCACCTGACATGTAATACCAATTTGAAATAATGGAATCGACAACAAAAGACAACCTCAAAAATATTTTTTTTTGAATTTTAATTTTATTTTACTTTGTATGCCTTTTTTCTCTTCATTTTCATGCATTGTCATCCAATTCTGAACTATGTGCCAAATTTGAAGATTGTAGCTAGTCGGGAAGTTAGTTTAAAATCGATTACAAAATTCCACCCGAACAGACATACACGAAGGCAAGTTTATATAAACGTGGTAAAAATAAAGACTGATAAAGGATTGTAGAAATGTTAATTCCCACGTCAACTCCACGAGTAATAGCCTCAACGTATTCGTTTCTGGCCTTCACAACTGCATAAGTAATTTAAGAGGAATATGTTCCTATGAAGTATTAAACAATTCTCTCCTGGGAACCATATTGAGCAGATATTTGCTTTCTTGTATCATTCTAACTATTTCGATCTTCAACTTGAACGCCTTTTCTTATAGATGGCAACACAATTTCATGCGTTTTCTTCATTAGAGCCCAATTAAGAGCTGCATACCCGTAACTTTATCGGCACTATTTGCAATTAAGAACTCGAGTACCGTTTTACTATTAGCATAAAATAGAGGTGTTCTACCAAGGTTATCTTTAGCACTGACAT